GGGCGGGGGCAGGGGGGGGAGGGGCGGACGTTGAGAGGGGCCGAGGCAGACTGCGCGGCGCGCCGCGGAGTTGCCGTTGTGGTGGCGCCCGGGGTCTCGTCGCCCGCCGGCGTCTTTGCTGTTTTGAATGCTGGTGAAACACCCTGGCATGCAATTGTGATGCAGGGGCGTGCAGCGGCCCACCGAGACGGGCCATATATCGCATATTTTGTTGCGCCCCAGCATCAGCGCCCGCAGCGCCGGCAGCCGCCGCAGCGGCGCCAGGTCAGCGACCTCGTTCTCCGAGGCGTCGAGCACGGTCAGCGCCGCTGCGGCGGCCGGCCCCGGCCACGGCGCGGCGGTGAGGCGGTTGCGGCGCAGAGAGAGGAGCGCCAGTCGGTCCTTGCCCTTTGTTGGGGGGTCGGATGTTTTTGCATCAGGGCCGGACACAAGACGCGCGGGGCCAAGCTGGTAGTGCGTACGCTGTGAGATTCTGCCGTTCAATCGACCGGCACTGTTTGCGACGGCTGGAAGGGGGCGTGTTACCGTCGTCGCCCGCGAACCGGTCAATGCGGGTGCGGCAATTGCGCCGCCCCGCCCACGCGGAGCGCCGTGGCAGGAGCGCGTTGCAGCTGCGTTTATACCCCCCTCCCACCTCCAGCACAGGGCACTCGGTCAGTCCGCAGTCGTCCAAACGCATCTCCTCAGGGGCCGCATGGCGGGCGGCGGCGGTGCGACAGACCACCCTCGGCTCGCCAGATGGCGAGGATTCCAGGACAAGAATGCCATATAGCTCCATCTTATGTGTGCTGCTCGACATTGATGCGTCCATACCAAGAGGGCCCCGCTCCACAGATCACTTTTCGAGCACGCTGACCGTGTGTCTTTGATAAAATAATCAGCGTCGTTGCATTTAAAGTCACATACAAGGATCATCGTGCTGCTTACAGCTATTCTAGTGTCCGACGAGTGCCGATGAGTGCCATTGACTGGTGTCTGTTGAATTGAGCGATGCAGATCTTTGTTTTGAGTAGTGAACACCCACATAAGCATCCGTAGCACCGTAACCAGTGTCCCATTGCCACCCTGGCTGCCGTGGTGTGGGCAGCGCGCGCCCATTCAGCTCGCTTTGCAGCTGTAAGGCAGCCGGTGAGGCTTTTGTGCGTGGCCGTTGCGCCTGCAGAAGAGGCACCGAAGCCCAGAAAGAAGAGGATGGCAAGCACAAGTTCAAAGCGGAAGGCGGAGCCTAAGGAGGCTGATGCCGGACCTAGCAGCAAGAAGTCGGCTGCGGGTCCCAGTCTTGTGAATCCGAAGCGCTGGAAGGTCCTGCACGAGGGCACCGCCGGTGACGGACCGGTCATTTACTGGTGCGTGGCTGGCGGCGCACCGCTGCGGCAATCCCGTAGATTTGCTTCCGGCCTTGAAAGCGTGCTCGATTGTATGCTTTGTGACAATCATTAGATTACCACGGGCATATGCTTGCCAGCAGCCAATCGGACGCCGCGCAGCGCTCACACGGCGACGCCCCCAAACATTCGAGGCGTAGCTTCAAGCCGGCCCGTGGTGCTGCATGCGGCCGCGGCCCTCGCGCCAAACGCCCGCGCCCGCCGCAGGATGTCGCGGGACCAGCGCATGCGCGACAACTGGGCGCTGCTGCACGCGCTGGAGCAGGCCGGCAAAAAGGGCGCCCCTGCGGCCGTCGCCTTCAACCTGGTGCGTCCCTCCTCACCGTAGTTCTCCTTTATTTCACATTTTTTGTGTTTTCGTTGGCAGGTCTGCAGCCGCGCCGTTCCCGGGACGGCACCCCACCAGTGCAGTGCGGTACCCGCTGTGCGCGGCCCCCGCCTCGCGGCAGGCGCAATGGTTGGCGGCGGCGCGCCTCGGCGTCGGTCAACGGGCGCTGACCGTTGACCAACACGGACCGCACCATCCACGGCCCTTGCCATGGCGCGCTCGCGGCCGCCAGGCACCCCTGCACCCCAACCCTGACGCTCAACCCTGACCAATCCCTGAACCCCAAGTGCTGAACCCTGTCCCACAACACGTGCACGCGCCAGGTGCCGGAATTCCTGGGGGCCGGGGCGCGCCAGTTTGTGTTCATGCTCAAGGGGCTCAGGGAGATGGCCCCGCGGCTGGAGGCCCACGGCATCCCCTTCTTCCTGCTGCAGGCACGCGATTCGAATTTCAAAGTTGCCCCTGTTTCGAGTGCACGCGCAGCTCTGCGTGGGCTGGGCGCTCGCCTCTGGCCTTCAGCACCTGAAAAGCGGCGGCGCCTGGATGGCGCAGGGGGAGCGCCGAGCGGCAGCGCGGGCTCTGTTACCACACGCGTCCGCGCTCGAAATGAGCATGCATGCGCCTTCCTGCCCAACGCGGACGGCAGCCACCCTCCGTAGCTCGCCCTCTTCCAAGCGATGGGGATCCCGGCGTTTTCAGGGGCCCGACCACCAGCAACCTTGCATCCCGCAACCCCCACCCAGGGCGACCCTGCTGCGACCATCCCCAAGCTCGTGCGGGACACGGGGGCGGGCCTGCTGGTGACGGACTACAGTCCGCTGCGCCTTGGCCGCCAGTGGCGCGACCAGGTAGGCCGGTGGGAGGCGAAGAGGCGCGCCGCAGCGCCGCCCTATGTTGGCCCCGCGTCCCCGAACAAGTAGCAGCGCAGCCAGGCTGGGGTCGCTGCAATGTCGGCCATAGGGGGAGGCCCGCATCGCCGGACCCTCCTTTTGGCAGCTGCGGTTTCCGTGAAGCCTCTGCCCGCCCGCGACGGCCGCGTCGGGCCCCCCAGATTTGGGGCGGCGGCGCCCCGCCGGCACGCCGCGGCGGTGGGGCGGGGTGGTGCGGCGATGAGGGCGGGCCGTCCCCCTCGACTCCACAAGGAGTCGAGCTCCTTGTGTGGCTATGAAAAGAATGTCCATAAACTCGCATGCCTCCACCACGCCGTCGTTTTGCAGGTGTCTGCGGCGCTGGGCGCGGTGCCGTTCCACGAGGTGGACGCGCACAACGTGGTGCCCGTGTGGTCGGCGAGTGACAAGCGGGAGTACGGGGCGCGCACGATCCGGTGGGTTTCAGCACTCCCAGCGCCGGGCGGGTTGGCACCTTGTGTTGTCATTCGCCTGTTGTGTTTGCGTCTGCATAAATGCGTGTTTGTGTGGACAGGAGGGGAGATGAGGGGTTCTGGACGCGTGCACAGTGTAGGCCACAGCTTGTTTGGTGTCTTTCACAAGGTTTGACTCTCTGCACCCCAGCCCCAGGCCCCTCGCCGCAACCCCGCCCGGCGACGCGGGCTCGGCCACCGCGGCGCCCGGCAACTACCACCGCCCAGCCTCGGCGACTGCTCCATCCGCCCCGAACCGCCCCCAACCGTCCCCGACCGCCCCCAACCGCCCCCAACCGCCGTCACCGCAGCCCCAAGATCCACAAGGCGCTGCCTGAGTTTCTGTGCGAGTACCCAGAGACGCCCCGCCCTGCGCCCTGGACGTCAGCCGTGAAGCCCGACCCCATCGACTGGGAGGTGGGGGGGCGCCGCAGGGATCTCCGGAGATCCGTCGAGAGGCTGGCCGAGCGTCGGGGCAGGCCGCGGGCCGCGGGCGAGACGGGCGGCGGGGGCTTGTAATGTGGCGCAGTCCCTCCTGCAGAAATCCGCGAACGGTTGTCGCCACAACCCCTGATGTTCTCAGGCCCTTGTGAATTTCTCACTCTCCAGACACACGCCTGGCCTTTAAAAGTTCATCCAGCTACCCCCGCCCCCGCCCCTCCACACACGTCTGAATTCCTGCCAGGCCCTGCTGTCTGAGGTGCGGCGGCGGGGCGCGGCCGTGCCAGAGGTCCGCTGGTGCACGCCCGGGGAGGACGGCGCGCATGACGCACTCCTGGTGGGTGTGCGTATGCGTGTATGTGTGTGTGTGCGTGTGTGTGCGTGTGTGCGTGTGTGCGTGCGTGTGTCTGTGTGTGCGCGTGCATGCGTGTGTGCGTGTGTGCGTGTGTGCGTGCGTGCGTGCGTTTGTGAGAGCGAGAGAGAGAGTGTGTGTGTGTGTGCGCATGTGTGCGTGTGTGCGTGCAAATGTGAGAGAGAGAGAGTGTGTGTGTGTGTGTGTATGAGCGTGTGTGTGCGCGCGTGCGTGCGTGCGTGCGATGGGGCACGGGGTGCTGGGACAGAACCAGGGCTGCCACAGCCAGAGTCTAGGCCGCGCTAGGAGATCAGTCTGCAGGAAGAAAGGGGGGGGGCGCGTTGACCGCATGCTGCTGGATCATGTGCACTAGAAACGGCGCGAGCACCGCCGAAACGCACGCCGCGTGCACAGCGCCCAGTCCCTGGCTCAATACAGAGCCGAGAGCTGCCGCCCCCGGCGCATGCAAGCCCCATGCAGCGCCCCGCATGCCGCGTGCCGCCCTCTCACACCCGGCCCCCCCAGGGGGAACAAGGCTTCCTCACTCCGGCGCGGCTGGCGCTGTATGACGCCAAGCGGAACGACCCGGGGGAGCCGCAGGTGTGCATCCCGCGCTGCCCCGCCCTGCCCGCCCCCGGCCCACTGCGTTGCGCCCACCGCTTGCTATTTGGTGCCAACAGGGCGCCGCAGGCAGTCGCTGTTTTGAAGTCCTGTGGCTGCAGAGCGAGCCTGGCCCCTCTGCTCGGCCCCGCACGCCTGCCTGGGCGGCGGCGCCGTCCTCCGAAAGCAGCGGCCCTCCTCGGGCCCCAGGCGGGGGCTGCCGATCGCGCCTCCCTTCATCCTGCTCACCTGCATTCCCCTTGCAGCATCCCTTCCCCTCTCAAGCCCTATTTACTAAATCATGAAGCCTGACTCCCACCTCCAGGCGCTGTCCAACCTGTCGCCCTGGCTGCACTTTGGCCAGCTCAGCACCCAGAGGGCGGCCCTGGAGGCCGCCAAGTTGCGGGGCAAGTACAAGGTGTGTGTCGGGGTCCTGTGTGAGCATCGCATGTTGACATCATGTTTTGAAGCGTGCTATTGTGTGCGCGCCTGTACGTTTATCTGCGTGCGTTTTGCTGCGCGTTTGTTGAGGGATTCCACGCTTTTCGCTGGTCCGAGATCCTGTCACTGGTTGTGTGACC